CAATACCCGTGCTTCCCCCCCCCCACCCCCGCCGAAACTTTTCACCATGTCATTAAGAACGAAAAATGACCGTTTCAAGGGCGTGCTCCCCCTAAACTCAGGAAGGGGACCCCCCTTTACCACCTTTGAAAAAAAAGTTTCTCATTGTACCTCTGCACCACAGCGCCAAATATCTTGTTGTTCCCAGACAAATCCGGTGTCGACGTCCTTGGTATCGAGCAAAAAATCGACGTTGTCCTTGAACAAGATTTCAGAATAGATGTAAGTTACTAAACAATAAAATTGTTTGATTTTAGTTGAAATCGAATCCAAGAATTCTGCGGGAAAAGCGAGTGTTCGGCCACAGAGCTACGTTTGCGCTTTGCGAATGTCATGCATACTGCGAGGAGTTTCGTTAACGTATTGAATGCGAAGACAATCTGAGCGACGTAAACAAGTGTTTCATATGCAGCCTACTAGTGGGAGTCAGATATAAGCACGCAAAAAAAGCTAGCATTTCCCGAGCTAATACTCGCTGGCAAGAAAAGTTTTGCGTTCTAAAATAGGACATGCACACTATCACGCGAATCGATAGTGAAAAGAAAACATGTGGTAGAGGATCAATTAATCTTGAAATGGGTGTGTGTACGCACCCAGTATGAGGCAAGGAGGGCTCAACTTGCGAAGCAATTAAGCAGTTAACGTACTCGTTTGAACGACTAAAAATGCAAATAGACACCAAATGATTCTATACTATCGATTCCTACCGTATCATGACGGGTTTTTTATGAGATAGTATAGAATCTGGCGGCATATATTTGAACTTGAGTCTTCTTTCTCTTCTGCATCACAACTTACAGAAGTACTACCTTTTGTGAGTGCGCGAACACTTATATGTATGCACACGTCTCCTGTTGGTGTGTTTGTTGAATGGCGCCATGTGTTACAAGTTAGGAAGGGGGTGATATATACGGTAACATTGTTAGCCACCACTGCATTCAAGAGAGAAACAACGCTTGTTGATGGAGAAAAAAAATAAGCCGGAAGATGTGGAGGGAGGAAGAAAACAAGGAAGAGGAGACTACACACTGTCACTGTTTTCACTGTTCCGTTTTCACAAACACGCGCCGATAGAGACAAAAGATGGCGCGGTAAGACAGACGAAATTCTTGTGCATAGGCTCGCTAGGCTCCGGCGCGCACCGTAAAGGCGAAACTTTCGCCGGAAGGAGCACCGGCCGGCCGAAACCTCCTTCTCCCCCTCGTTTCACTTTTCATTCCCGGAAACGACAGAGTACCGCCGCCGGCATCGCCACCCTTCTGGCACACTCCCGCCTTTCTCTGCTCAGTCTATATACACCGACGGGCAAACTACAGCCCCTTCATAGCCGCAGTAACGAGCGAGGCGCCAGATTATACAATAACGCGGCAGTAGAGTGCCGAAACAAAGGAGGCTTCAAGACTGGGCAACGTCTCGCCTCCATTTGGAAGGGCGCGGACGAAACAAAGCAGGCCCACTCATATGCAAACACGGCACGTCCCAAACTCGGAGTGGCCGAAACTGCGCGTGAGAGGCACGAGAGCGTGCGACACGTGCGTGCACGCGCACGCACTCACTCTCAGCGGGTCCGTCCTTCCTCGCAACTGTTCTTCGTGCGACCTATATTTCGCATCGGGACTTTCTTTCCCGTCCGCCGGAACACGGGCAAAGAAAAAGCACACCGCTATTTCGTTTTCTTCTTTTTTTTTCGCTTTCTCGCTTTCTCTGCGCTGCTTGTAAGAAACCGCTCGTGAGCACACACCGCAGACGAACGCGCTATACTATGTATATGCGACAATGCACGGCGAGGCACAACGGTCCACGCTGTGCCCACGTGGCCACTTTCCATGTCCCCCCTCCATTCCTCCCCATCCTCTTCTGGGCTGGTCTTAATGCGGGACAGTCACGGAACGAGATTCGTTATCTAATTAGGATTCCACCCTCCTTTTCTCTCAAGCCTCGTGCCACGCGCGTGCCAGCCGGGTGTGCGGCGACAAGACAACGGGAGACAATTACCACTCGGCGAGCGTGGTCTATATAGAGCGTCGCCGCCACCGCGTCTGGCGGCAAAAAGACCCTTATAGTTTATCAACCGAAATTCAACTCTAACCCGCGCTGTCTGTCGTTTTATTTATTTTAGCTCCTAACTGCAACCGGGAGCTCGTCTATATAGTGCGATGTTAATATTCCAACCACGACTAAGACTGTTGTAGGCAGATTTTTCGGAAACACTCGCCGTCGTTAGTTACCATGAATGCTCTAGTCCCTAATGTGTAATCAATGATTGGTGTATATCAGGGGGCTAGCCACAAAAATGCCCGGGGTTTAAGTGTCAAAACACGATTTCATTCTGAAGCACGAGGGCTCCGGAAAATTTTTTTATCATCTAGTGTGCATTAGTGGGCACCGACACCACGTAGTACACGGTCCTCTACCATTCGGCCTCTATCGAAAAGTGACCACCGCAGCCGGGATCAACCCCGCGACCTTGGGGTCAGTATATAGCCGAGCACCGTTACAACTGCTACACCGCGGCGGACCAGGGGCGTGAGCAGTAATCTTTTTCGGGAGGAGGGGACTCAACCGCCCTTTATAAATCTTCGAGCATGCGTGTACAGGTGCACGTCACACATGCAATATTAAGAAATTCTAGGTTGAGAGTTTTACCCCTCCCAACCCCTATGGGTCGCTCCTCCAACGGGTGTGCATGTGTATCATTCGTATGCTGAAATGCCTGTGTTACGTGTGAACCAAAGCCGATTGGCGAAGTCTTGCAATCGGAACGAAATCACGTGGGCCGGCGAAAATGGTTCCACTGAAATATTATCTCGACTTCAAAACAGAAATGCAAGTTACAACGTGGATCCATAAAAGGGAAGGCTGCAAAACAAAACAAAAAAAAAACAGGCACTGACTGCGGCCGCTAACCCAAGTATTGCCTTCCAACATTAGTCGTACACGTTTCAGCTATCTGATAAGGCTACAGTGAACCCTGCGGCACGGTAACCGAACGTTATGTAAAACAGGCGTATGCTCTAATGATCGCGGCCTCGGTAAATTGATTTATCCCAGATAGGCGCTCGCGAAACCTGCGCAGAGTTTGTTAGCTACATACAGCTTTGCGAAGAGTAAACGCGTGGCCAATAGGGTTATCTCGCTTTTCGATCTCCTGGCAAAAAGATAAGGTGCTCACATGCGCATGTGAGGCACAACGAAATGTGACAAGAAAAACGCGTCTTGGCACTGTGAGAGCAGGGAAATAATTCGTACTTTTGATAATCATATCTGGTTCCAAAACAGGATATCATTAGACCCCGCTTATAGTAGACGGCTGCGGAAATTTCGACCGTTTTTTGCTCTTTAACGTGCCGTGACATTGCACAGTACATGGGCCTCTGTAGAGTTTCGCCTGCATCGAATTATGACCGCTAAGGTCAAGATCGAACGTGCGACCTTTGAGTGAGCCGGCAAGCACTATTGCGAGCACGCAAATAGCTCTGACGTTTATTTCTATCACGTCGTGTGTCAGTTTGTTGCCAATAGGTTTTCAGAGGAAGTATCTAAGACAACGCATTCTGGAGTGACAAAATGAAAAAAAAATGTGAGGAAATTTTCATTCTTGAGGTAGGTGTCTCGCAGTGGCATTTGCATCTCGATGTTCGCCACCTTGATTTAATCCGTGAGTTAACCTTCCTTTTGCTTCATCGCACTGCCGATGTAAATCTCGGAGGCCACACAGGAAGAGATGCGTGGTTGAGATCTTTTACACCAGGTGTCGCAACCATACCAACGGTTGACAAGAAAACGGCCAGCTCATTTAAAGAATATATTCTATTATTTTAATTAATATACGATATATAGGACTGGCCCTGATGTTAAGTCGGCTTAGGCTCCCATAGTACACATATTCATTGTAACTTTTACCTTCCACCAGAATTAAAAATTTTGTACTTGTATATTTCTAGAAAACTATTTGTGAACATTCGGAAAACCGAAGTGCTCGACCAGAAGTGCTTGCAAGAGAAACGAGAATGCCGCTTCTTTCTCATTTCTCCGGCCACTAAAAACGTTCACTGAAATTTTGAAGCAGTGACAACCTTAATTTTGTGCCAACGCCAAAGTGGTGTGCTATGACTTGTTGGATACGTCCCTTTAACGTGTGATTCCCCATGCGTAAAACGATCATGATGATGCAAAATCTAATGATCTCGTCATTCGACTTTCTTACTGTGGCCATCAGTATGTATATGTGCACATCTTGTACCTGCACATACTATGTATTTTCAGGAGAACTCCACTGGTGTATTACGCTCACCTCCAACCAAAATGATCGAAAAAAAAATTGCAAGCCTCCACCAACAACGGTTACAGGCTTCACAAATGTCTTCGTTTGTTGTTTTTATCGTCTATAAGAAATATCACTCAAATCGGACTATAGTACATCAAAGTGTTGTCATGAATTTACACAGCACGTACTACTACTACTACAACAACAACAACAACAACAACTACTACTACTACTACTACTACTACTACTACTACTACTACTGCTACTACTAAAAAGAAGAAAAAGAAGAAGAAGACTTCAAGACTCCATAAGGTCCGGGACATCGGACTCACAAACGCGTGCCATAGTTTTGGCGCGAAATTTTAAAATGAGGCATTGAGCTGTCCTATCTCTCCAAATTTTAAATGCGTGATGGCAAAATCAACAACAACAGAGATTTCAAACAAAAACAAAAGAATCACAAGCCCCTTCACGTACTGGCCTAAGGTGACGCCAAGTCAGCCACATATATTTAATAATAGGCTGGGGGCGCTGCCACAAACCTTCAACCCCTCCCTCGCCCGACCCCCGAAGGTTAACCGAGTGCCCGCCTATGAGAGTCCATAGACACTACGTGCTGGAATCATCCCGCTAGCGTATTGGTGCAGCTGCGCAATAATTGTGATAACGTGCAAGACCGACGTCAGGTACTGACCTCAAGCGGTGGGATGAGCTGGCGGCCGGCGACGTTCCCCTGAAGCCTGGCCGACAGAGCAACCACGATGCCGGTGTAGCCGTTCTCTTTCAGTTCGACGCGGGACGCCCGGACGAAGAACGGCGGCGCCACGTTGAACACCGTGAAGCATGCCACCACCAGGAGGAGCAAAGTTCCGGGCTTCGTGCACAACCTCATGGCTATCACTGTGTCCCTTCAATACTCCTCGGAACACAAGACACTTAGGACATGCGCGCACTGTCCTCACGCTTCTCGTAAGGTGACAGGAGAAGCAGCATCAGCGGCAGCACGGGTCTCAGCTCTCCCGCATCGTGTTCACAGGCAGGTCGTTTCGACGCCGGTTGTTGCTCGGGCTGACGAACACGCAGAACGAACACCACCCCTCGTGGATGGGAGAAGAAGGCTCGGAGTTTGAACGTTGCCGCCTCGGGGAACAGGTTCGTAGAGCACTCGTCCGCTCCTTCAGGGAACCAGGAGCATCAGCAGCGAGGATAGCCCTGCACAAGTGATGGCCAAAAAAAAAAAAAGTACGACCGAAGATTAGCGACGAAAACAAATAAATAGTCAAATCGTGGTGATCCCGCAGGAGAGGAGGAAAGGGGGGGGGGGGGGGGGTGTCTTCGCTACACAGCGGGTGCGCGGCAATGCGTGGTTTCTAGAAATGAGTTGTAGCAGAGAAAGAGACATGTCGTTGGGGGGGGGGGGGGGGTAGGAGAAGCGGGGCAAGTAAAACGTCCGATTGCCGGAAGAAAGAGGCAATCAAAAAAAAAAAGCAAGTGAAGGCAACTGAAAACCGCTGCCTACGAACATCACTGCGCTTCTCGTTTTACTTTCTTCCGAAGGTCTGCTGCAGTGCGTATGACCTTTTTCTCTTTCTTGCCCTCTTTTGTTTCTACACGTGGTCCATTCTGCTCTGTCTAAACAGCACCTCCTCCTTCTCTTCTCTATAGAAAAAAAAAACATCATACGACTGAGAGAAACAGAAAGAAGCAACAAGAGATGAACACGGCGACTAGAGCGAAGCTGCGGTCCAGGCTCTAGAGGAGGTCAGGGATCAGCGGGGGTGAGGAAAAAGAGAGAGATGCGTGGTAGAGTAGCAGACGCAGGGAGGAAACACCGCCTTTCCGGCCAGCACTACAAACATGGGGGGTGGGGAGACGCTTACGGGGGGTGCCTTGTTCACCGTCAAACAGCAGGCCCTAACACCACCGATCGAAAGAAGAGCAGTCAAAATAACGCCCCCCCCCCCCCCCCCAAACGGCGCTGCTCTCTTTCTTGACTGCAAAGCTTTTAGTTTCTGCTTTTGTCCTTCTTTACTTTCGTTTTACAGCAGTGCCCACCGCACGTGTAGTATACGCCCCACATTACGCCGCAGAACCTCCCTCCCCCCTCCCACACACACACACTATAGCAGGCGCCTCGACCCTCCTTTTCAATGCCTCGCCATACAAGCCCCCCAGCCACATCACTCCCTTTCTTTTTCTCATTCTCTTAAGCTGCTCGCCGCACAAACACGGCGGCCTTGCTATTCCTAAACCGTCCCATTTCACTCTCTCCCCGCTTCTGCGACGGGCTTCCTGTTCTTCGTCTCCAAACGCAGAAATGAGTATCATGGCCCCCAAGACGCGGCCAGCGCAAAAGCAGGAGAAGCGGCTCCTGGAGTTTAGATTTCGAGCCGAGGCGACAGTGAGCTTGCGAGGAGGGGGAAGAAGAAGCGTGGTTCTCCAGCCTCTCGGGATTTCGAGACACGCCCTCCTTTCTTCCTTCCGAAGAGAGTGACCGCAAACGCCACATTCTTCACTCCCCTTTACACCCATCTCCGTCTTTCTTTCTTACTCTCTTCAAGAGCTCGTTCTCTTCAGGCCTGTCAAACATAAAGCCGTCGCGGCCACGCGTTCGTAAAGGGATGGTGTGCTCCGTTGGCTACTATATTGGCAACCGCTCCGCACGCATGCGCCACATGTTCCGGCTTGTGTGGTGGATTAATTGAAGAAGGGGAGGGGGAAGCGAATGTCGGAGTGAGCAAGAAGGTAGCAGGCCTTAGACCCCGGTGGCGGCATGATGGTTTTCGTCAACGATGCCAAAATTGGGAACGTCGAGTGTTCTTGGGCGCGAGTACCCACCCCCGTCTCTTTCCCAATCTGCGCTGTAAGATGCGAGAGCGCTTTTCGGTCAAGATCACCCGCAGAGAAGAAAGCTCTTCTTCTAACGGAAGCCGCAAGCATTAGAGATGAAAGGGAGCGCAGCAGGGCCTATACCAGCAGGAGATTGACCTTCGCAACTTGGACAGATCCTACTTCAGAGCAGGAGGTGCAGGGACTGGGTTGAGGAGCAATAGTTTTCTTTGCGGCTGCCGCATTTTCTACAACGTGTTCGCCACGTGTTTAACTGGAGCACACTCGTGCATGCTCGATCACGTGACAAACGGACGAAAGAGACGGAGAAGAGGACGAAGGCGGGAAGAGGGGACCGTGAATGATGGCGTAGGGCGGGGAAGGCACATGGGTCGAGAGGAGACACTAGGAGTCGAAAAGGGAGAAAGAGAGCACAACTAAGAGGAGTAACTCGACACCATTTTCGTTCTTTCCCATATCAGACTGCGGCGCCACCACGCTCAACCACGCAGGCTAATCACCTGACGTAGCAGGAAAGGAGGTGCGGGAGAGATTGTGTGAGTTGAACGTAGCGTGTCACAAGAAGACAAGTCGAAGTCAGAAGAGAAAGACCATTAACAGGCGGGGAGAACTCGACACCGTTTCTTTTCTCTTAACCAAGACGGGCCGCGTTTCGCTCGAGGAGAACCTCCGATTTCCGAGGGGTCTGGCACTGCCGAAAAGGCCGACAGGAGGAGTGAGAGAGGGCAACGAAACGATATTCGGAGCGGAAGGCGGAAAAGGGCGCGCTTTTCCCCTAACTGTAACGTTTCCTTTCATTTTTATGCTCTTTCATCTCTTGTATTAGTGCTAACTACGCATTCGAAAAGAAGCTCGGTCATCGCCTCCGAAAAACAGGTGCACCAAACATGGGCGCCCAACGAAAGGCAATTATTTTTCGCGCCCTTTCCGTCTGTTGTGCGGGAACCTTATGCACCACGTGTGAGACTTTCTCGCCGGCGGGAAAAGAAGGAGAGGGAGACGGAGGATGGAAGAGGGACGGAGTGTTTGTGGTGCTTGCTGCTCGGCGCCGGAATTGGGGAAAACATGCTTCCCTGTCACGCAGGCAGACGTGATTCACGACGCGCCTTTCTACGCTCCCGAGAGAATATTTCTTGGAACGGCGCCGTTGCAAAAGACGCCGTTCGTGTAAAGAAAGAGAAATCTGCGCCTTTCGAAACCATTTCTCTCTTTTTCTTCGCGCGCAAACCGGCCTCCCAAGAAAAGTAACGGGCTCCCCTGATACATTAACGACTGCCACGCAGCTGTCACAACTGCCAAAAAGCCTTTTGCCCACGTGTGCTACCCACTCGTTATTTGAAGTTGCAGTAATCGGCGCTTTCGCGTTTGTTTCAATACTTGAAACAAGACCACTGATGCACGCGATTGCTCCAGTACGCGTAACTTAAAAAAAAAAATCGCTAAGAGTCTTAGAAAGCAGTTTTTTTTTTCGTCTGCGTCGAATTCCGCCGTGACTGACCGCACGTTTCTACATCACTGCAGTTAGGAAGTTGCTGAACTGCAGGATTCGATGATTGATATGTGGGGTTCAACGTCCCAAAACCACCATGTGATTATGAGAGACGCCGTAGTGGAGGGTTCCGGAAATTTCGACCTCCTGGGGTACTTTAACGTGCACCCGAATCTGAGCACACGGGTGAACTACAAGATTCACACTTTGTACATGGTCGCCCGCGTTTATTCGTAACCCCACCAGAACACCAAACCTCCCACGACTTACTGTGCCACGGGCAAATTAGCAGGCAGATGGAAGAAAGATAGAAAGACAAAGGGAAAAACAACAAAACGCATCCTAGCAAGAGGAGTTTGCAGAATCAAAAGACGCAGCGAGGATGACTGATTGACTCTTAAAGTGTATAATTTCAATATTTGCAACAGATTGAGATTGAATGCGGGAGCTATGTTGACGTTCAGTTAAGTCAAACTAAATTATAGCTTTACCGTTCTCTCTTCTATCAGTATGTTTACAGATGAAAGAGACGGATTAACCACGAAGCAATGAAACTGCTTCTACGTACGTTGTGTTTTTTTTTCTCTTTTAGATGCCACTAATATTTTTGATGAATACGAGCGAGTGAATCACTCAGTTGTGCTGTTTATATACTTATACTTACTAATGACTGGTCATGAAGGCTATAGGAAGAAATCGCGCAAATTGTGGATCTTAAAATAAAACTTTTTTGAGGCTCTGTTGCTAATCGCATTCGCAGACACTTAGACCAGTAATTGTTTGTTATCAGTAAGTTATTTTTAAGGTGATAAGTTCACTTCACACATGGAGAAAGACTACTTTTAACTGCGTTGATATGAAAGAGTGTTTTAGCGCTTCGCGAACTTTGGAAAGGAGCTAAAGCGGAGCGCGAGATTTGTCTTAGATTGATAACTTATTCCTTGAGAGCTCCATCGTAGTTAATTTAGGACTCGTATTTTAATTGTTGAAAGAATAAAATAAGGTAAATGTTCTATGTTTAACGTCCTACCGGTACACGCCAACGTAGACGTCACTTGAAAGATTTCAAAAATGTCTCTCTTTCGTACTTGGGCCACACTTCTTCAATAAAATTTCGCAAAACTAGCGATGTGAAGTCTCCGGTTCACTAGGAGTACAGCACACTTTCTTTATTTCGTGTGTGAAATAGATCATCATAGAGGCCCTAGGAAACGTCGTCGACATGTATGGCGTCGCGGTGCCATGAGTTAAATGCGACGTATACTTCTATTTCTTCGTTGTGCGTCGCCTTGCTTGTCAAGTGACCCGCCATGGTAGAACAGTAGTTATGGTGCTCAGAGACCGATCCGCAGGTCGCGGGATCGAATCCAGGCCGCGGTGGCCGCATTTTTGATGGAGGCGAAAATGCTTGTAGCCCGTGTGCTTAGAATAAGGTGCACGTCAAAGAACCCCAGGTGGTCGAAATCCCCGGAGCCCTCCACTACGGCGTCTCTCGTAATCATATAGTGGTTTTGTGACGTCAAACTTCAACAACAACATTGGTTGTCAAGCGTCTTTCCACTACTCGAACGGTATCTTTTTGGTGCATCGGAAGGGCTGTTTACGTTTAAGAGCGATATAGCTTCCCTCTTTGCTTCCCTTAAGTAAGGATAGGGCACGATTAGGCTTAGTTAGGTTTGTTTAGAGTCATGTTCATAAAGGTCTTCTTGTCGTAAAACGAAATTACAATGCAGCCTCCAAGAAAGGAATACACTGCAGTGCACGCTGGCGTGATGATATAGTACGTATTTCTCACAAACGCTGGAACATGGGAGCATACAACGACATAATCGGAAACAAGCGGTTAAACAAAATTAAAGGA